AACTAGAAGACTCCTCCCGGCCATTTAGGTTCCCTCTGCGGTAAATACTATCTACACTATGAATTGCATAGAACCTTTTGCAACTTCGAAGAGTCCTTGAATACTTAATTCGGGTACATGCATAATCTTTTTCCATTCTACTATTTACATGGTTTGTAGAGAAAAGCAATGAATTTGACTTCTCAAAACATGAACCCATATAATGTAACGGAGGCGCTGCCCCTGATAGAACATGTAGAACTGCTTCTGATGTACCCATTTATTACCAACCAGATATCAGATTGAAGTGATGATGCCTTCCGCTCAATAGATCTGATGACAGCCTATTCTTTAAATTAGTGCTCCTACTCAAAAACATCAAATTCAAAAGATACATTGAGCTTAAACATGCGCGCAAATTAACACAAGATAAATCATAAGTGCAAGAAAACGGATCCATGAAGCAGGAAAACATACAATCATCGTGTTCCACTATGATCTATAAAGCCTCGTCCCACAACTAAATCTTCTACTTTCTACTATCTATAGTATCCTATATTTCATTTGGAATCGGCTATCAAAAAGAGAAACAGAACCTTTCAAAAAACATACATACCCAGGTAATTCTACACTGATAAAAGCTCCATACTGCATCAAATTCAACCAACACACACACACACACACACACACACAGAAACAATACAAATCTCAACAAGTTCTTTCAGTGAATCCANAACTGATAAAAGCTCCATACTGCATCAAATTCAACCAACACACACACACACACAGAAACAATACAAATCTCAACAAGTTCTTTCAGTGAATCCAGAGAAGTGGTTTTAGATTTGACAACTCAAAACTAGAGTTCTATATGTAATAGATTTCACATTAAAAGATTAAGGAATTGAATTTTCTTGTCTTTGTGTTCCGTTGAAAATTAGTAGGAGATTACGGTTTTAGTGGAACACACAGAGAATTCATTTCCATGGAAACTCAATTACTCATCAAGAGAAAGTTAAAAATTGATAACACATAAACGTGATTTACCGTTGTTCTGAGGATCTATGACCAGCTTTGGGCTATTTTCGTTGAAAAATTCACGGTTTTGGGCAATTTTCTCGGGAAAATCCACGGGCTTAGCCAGACAGACAGGGCGTGTTTGGGTAACGGGGTAGGATAGGATAAAAATTGTTTTTTTTGGAAAATTTGGAGGTCGGTCCTCTTATGTGGATTTGTTTGGAGATAAGTCCAATAAGAAAAATTATTGGAATCTAAGTCCGTGTTAAAATTTATATGTAGGTACTTAAGTCCATTTTTTTTTAAATCTCAATATTACCTCTAACGGTATTAATTTTGTCAAATTATAGAAAGTTCAATAGGTTAAATCTTTAAAGTATATATAGAAATCTTAGTTTGAGTTATATATAGAAATCATTTTTCATTAAAAATCCTAATAATTAAATAAAGAATATATGGAATGTATATACTTTGCTAGCTATATATAGAAACCTAATTGAGGAATTAATTCATATCACAAGTTTTCTTTATCAATTCAAATTCAAATTCGAATTTTTAATCAATTTTAGTATGTTATACTTTTGAATAACAAGTTTTTGTGTTTGGCAGGTGGTTTGAAGGTGATAGAAGCAGTTGCGAGACTCTGTGTTACTAATGATGTTATTGCCAAGGTTACTATTTAATGATTATTACATACAGTAACCAATCGTGCAATAATATTACAAATTCACTTGATAATGAATAATTACAATGGATTTTAACATATCAATTCCACATACAACACAATTTTAGCATTCTAAAATTGAATGGTTATGTTAGTTGGAACATTTTTTAACATGTTACTGTTTGAGTTACTATTGCACTTAAAAATTAGACAGAATTTCCTTTGTTTTCCAAACATTCTATTACAAACAAATTCCCAAACTTACATCAACATATCAATTTAATATCAAGGTGTAACATCCAAACCACAATTCTACATGTTTGAATACTCCATTTAAACTAAGTACCAATCAATAAACAATTACAACCAACTTCTAATCGAGCTTACGAGTAGCTAAAGAATGAATAGCTTTACAACATCACCAATTTTTATTTTTTTGGTATCTTTTTTTCAATCTTGATCTTGTCTCGTAGTCTTTAACAGTTCATGCATTCCTATGGTTTATGAATGTAGTCACTATATGTATTCGTAGAACGTTAAATTGTGCTAATTTCAATTTTTTNTAACAGTCCATGCATTCCTATGGTTTATGAATGTAGTCACTATATGTATTCGTAGAACGTTAAATTGTGCTAATTTCAATTTTTTTTTTATTTTCTGTAATTGTCATCAACCTGTAGCACAACGTTGTAATATTAATATAAATATATTGGACAATTATAATATCAATATCCTACACAAACATATAGTATAATGATACAAAATAATAACACACAACATATGGTAACATACACAATAGTAACATATATAATATAGTAGCATGATACCAAGCATAATGGATATAAACTAATTGTGAAAAATTTTGTGCAAAAGTAACATTAACAATTCCACCAAATTACATTATGTAAATATAGTAACATCAGGTTAGTAACATCAAAACACACACAATTCAATAACATCATTTTCAATACACAATTTCATTACAAATTCATTGTGTTCCTTTTTTACATTTAAAATCAAACATCAACCCCTGAACTCTTCATAAACAACATATAGTGCATTAAAAGTAAAAACCAAAAAGGGAGTTGATCAGTAATATGTCTATAATAACATCAATTTGTCAGTACCATCCACAGTACCCAAAGCACAAGCATACATTGGAAATATAAATTCAATTTTTCAGTTATCACATAGTAACATTAAAAGGTTCAATGTACTCTTGAACCAATGGTTTTCAAATTTCTTAAACAACGAAGAAAACAACAAAAAATTTACACATGTAATTATATAATAGACTTTTAATTCAGTAACTACATTTTTCATTATACAATTGTTTCCATTGGAAATCCATTAAGTCCCCAAGTTACAATTTTTGGAATATAAATAACAGTGTTCAAAAGTAACTTGAACATTTTTTTGAGGAAACTAGTGATATTTTCCTTTTCGTAACCAATAGATTGTGCATTAAAAGTAAAAATCAAAGNAAAGTTATAATTTTTGGAATGTAAATAACAGTGTTCAAAAGCAACTTGAATATTTTTTTGAGGAAACTTGTGATATTTTCTTTTTCGTAACCAACAGATTGTGCATTAAAAGTAAAAACCAAAGGTTGTGATCAGTAACACACGTGCAGTAACATCATTTTCATAGTAACATCTATAGTACTTAAGCACATCAATCCATTGAAATTAAGAAATTAATTTTTCATATTAAGATAGAGTAACATGATATATTTCATGTTACTTTGAAACAATGGTTTTTGAATGTCTTGAACAAGGCATAAAACAACAAAAAAATGTTCACATGTAAATATNTCATTTTCATAGTAACATCTATAGTACTTAAGCACATCAATCCATTGAAATTAAGAAATTAATTTTTCATATTAACATAGAGTAACATGATATATTTCATGTTACTTTAAAACAATGGTTTTTGAATGTCTTGAACAAGGCATAAAACAACAAAAAAATGTTCACATGTAAATATATAGCACATTAAATTAGTAACACAAACATGAATAGTTTCATCCCAATTGCTATATTGTATTCATAATAATATCAAATTTCAAATGGTTATAGTAAACATACAATTCTAAAATTTAAAATTTAAAAATTCTCAATTGTAGCACACTGTCAATGCTTGAATTAGGACACTCAACACCGATCAATAACATCAAGATATTTAAATTATGAGATAAATTTATTCAACTCTTCACATAGTAATCTCATATATTTGACAAAAACACAACTAACGAATTTCAACTGTCAAACACATCAAAAAGAATGACAAAAACAAAATACATAACACTTTTATTATAGTAACAATCCATCTTAATTTTAATGTTATTAATGCAAAAATTAAAAAAAATTAAAAAAAAACTCAAATGACAGTAAGAACGACACATCAGGCAATGAGTTTTCTAATACCCAAAAATATACATTAGCATTCATCTAAAATCACATACCTTTCAATCTTTTTATGAATCCCAAAGATTGTTGATGATGATTTGAATGCAGAGACAACAACGATAACTTATTCAATAGTGTCCAAATTAAACTTTAAGAGTATATTCAAATTTTGCTTTTATGGTATGTAACTTTTTTGAAATTTGAATAGGATTGGTTTGGGTAATGACAGTTATTGGTTTTCAGGGAAGAAATTTATGGAAGATTTGATGAATATTGCCCGATTTCAAGGCTTGAAAGAAAGGGAAGTTTTGGTTTACAGTGAGAGAAATATAGGGTTTTACCATCTGAGAAAGAGACGGCAAATTGGATGTCGTTTATGTTTTTCTAAAAAATAAGGGTACAACAGTAAACTTGTCAAAAAATGGACTTATAATCAAATAAGTTTCTTTACCGAACTTATCTCCAAACAAGTCCATCTAAGGGGACTTACCCCCAATTTTCACTTTTTTTTATATTCTAATCCATCCGAGCCAAATTCACTCGTCTATTTTAAAACCCTAACCCAAGGTTATATTCAATCCTAACATTTGTTTGGGAAACAAATGTACAATTCAGTGAGCTCCATAGATTACACAAATAATTTTATCATAATTTTTTATTCTACTCATGACTCTATCCATTCCAATTCAATTCAAACCAATCCTATCTTATATTTGGTTTACCCATCCAAGCCTAACAAAATTCTACATTTTCCACATATACATAAAAATATATAAAATAAGAAAAGTTAAATATATATATATATATATATATATATATATATTTTGGTATTTTATTTTTCTAAACAAATCAACACTTTATTTCATTTTTTTCCAAAAAACTCAACACTTTTTTTTTTGGTTTTGCAGCTATGAATACTGTGATGTCTGCTATGCTTTTGCTGATCTTCTGTGATGTTGAGTGGTAGGCTGTGGCTGTGTTTGCTGGGCTGTCTGAAGTTGAGAAGTTGTAGAGGAGGCGGGGCTCTCTAAGGCTCCTGCTGATTGCTGGTGGAGGTAATAGCTCTGCTTAATACTGCAAGGAGGTGCTGGTGTGGATGGTGCAGGAGCTGGAGNCTGAGTGGTAGGATGTGGCTGTGGCTGTGTTTGCTGGGCTGTCTGAAGTTGAGAAGTTGTAGAGGAGGCGGGGCTCTCTAAGGCTCCTGCTGATTGCTGGTGGAGGTAATAGCTCTGCTTAATACTGCAAGGAGGTGCTGGTGTGGATGGTGCAGGAGCTGGAGTTTTGGAGAATAGTTTTAAATGGCCTAATCCTTTTGAAGGATTAAAGCCATCTCCTGTATTTTGAATTTTAAAATTTTTATTCTTTGATTCTTGTAATTCATTGATTTAGGAAAAAAAAATTTTCTTTTCTTTAAAAAAAAAGAAAAAAGAGAATAACATCAAGCAACATTATACTGGGAATTTTATTGATTTAAAATTGGATTACACCTAACTAGTGGGAATACCGCTTGATGCAATCAAATTATATGAATATTAAAGAAAATAAACCAAAATGCATGATTTTTTTTTAACAGCAAATTTTATTGATAAACTTCAAAATTTACAAGAAGCAAATTTTTACAAGACACAACAAAGCCAAAAGATGGCTTTAATCCTTCAAAACATAACAAAAGAACAGATTTCATCCTTAGCAGCATACAACCCTCCATTCCAACATCTTTCCTATGTCACGCAAGCAAAGCTGTAGCAGAGCATCCATATATGTAACACAAGGCTGAAACCAACCAAACACTCCCATCAACCTTTGTCATCAAAAAGACCAAAAAACAGAAAATTCTATTTAAGAACAAAAAAACAGAAAACTGTTACAGGAAAAAACAGATTTTCTGTTATAGAACAGAAATTCTGTTACACTCTAACAGGAAAAAATAGATTTCATATTTTCATTTATACCTCTGAAATTCAATCTAAACAAACTACGTTATCACAAATAAAACCTATGCTTAATAAAGGCTCATCATTAAAAACTAATGAAGTCAAAAGGCATAAATTAATACAGTTAAATATTCTTTCATCTTCACCTTCTGCCTCTGTTGCTGCAGTTGTTTGTGAATTAAATTGAACTGACCTCTCGATCTGCGCTATCTCCCTCTCAATTGTAAAAAATATCTCAAGAACTTCAGGTGTGCCAACAAATCTAGCAAATATGCTCAAAAACCAAGAATTTTTTTTTAAAACAACAAACACAAAAAGAGAAATGGAGAGTGAGGACTATAAGCAAGCAAACCAAAAATAATAAATAATTCAAAAATTACTCCAATATTGCTCTTTCATAAAACCACAACAATGAAGCATATTACTGATAATGAACTGCATAAATCTGACCTAAAATCACCATAATAAACAAAAATTAACAGAGTGCTAGATATCTAATGCAATCCACAGCCAAATGAGAAAGAGGGAAACCCGTAAAAAGTCAGCATACCCTAAAACCATAGCAATCAAAGAAATAAAAGTCTTGCGACCATAGAAGCAGCCTGCCAGACAATGGCAGAATGCTCTAATGTTGAAAAATCAGTATCTGCTTCAGTTTGGACAGCAAATGAGGCAAGAAAATTAGCTCAACGCCATTTGACCTCCCTGTATATATGTCTCATTGAGGGTGAAGAAAGGTAAATATGCAGAGAGTCGATGAAAAGAAGCTTACCTCGATTGCAGGCGACGATCGCCTGAGACCTTGGAGCTGAGCTGCTTGGACGAAAGTGAAAGTTAAATACAATTTCCACATATACATAAAAACATATAAAAATAAGGAAAGTTAAATATATAATTTTTTTTTCAAACAAATCAACACTTTATTTCATTACTTAAAAATTGATTACAATGGGAGAAAGACAAACAACCATGCCTTAAAACAATATCATAAAACAACCAAAACAATGAAAATATAAAAATAGTCTCTAAGACAAAAAAAATTAAACTGAGAGAAACATGCAAAATCTTTTGAATGTTTACAACAAATCAGAGTTGGAAATGTCATGCAGATTTCCATTCATCATTAAAGCAACATATAAAACAATGAAGGTAGCCAAAACAAATTCTGGTAAATAAATAGCCTGCATGACTGCACACCATTTCTTCTCAAATTCATGTGGTCAGACAAGGATACCACCAAATCACAAAATCCAAGTTCTCTATATTAGGCTACCACTTACTGTGACATTACTAGTTTTCACAATATTTTGGTTTACATCTCTGCACTTGACTAAAACAGGAGATCCTTGTGGGGAAGATGAACTTGGAACACTTTTTTTCGTTTTTTTAAAGAGAGAAATTTATTGAATAAATCTCAAGAATTACAAGAATCAAAAAACAGAAAAACTGTTTTAGCAAAAAAACAGAAATTCTGTTACAGAATTCTGTTACCAAATATCAGACAAAACAGTTTAAAATTCCTATACAGTAACTGTATTTCTGGTCCTCACAGCTCAGCTCCAGTTCCTTTGATCAGAACACAGGCAGACTGGACCTGTTGCAGAAGCATTCTGCTGATCACAGTTCAGCTCCTGGACCTCCCCCAGTACAACATATCTTCAACACTCTGCACAGCAGCAGCAAGCAGAGCAGAGGATACAACCCCTCAACCCTTATCATCAAACACCATAGCCTTCTTGTGATCAGAGTCCATTCTCATAAACAACACCAAAGCAAACAACCACTCAACAGTAAGACAAAGCAAAACCGAATATATAATTCATTGTATGGTCCTCACCAAAAGGTTCAACATTTTCCTAGTTATGCTATCACGAACTATAATGAAGGTTTATGAACGTTTACATGGAATTTATTCAAAATGCATCTAAGTTCTACAGTTCAAAGCAAAGAATCCATACATCAGATCACTCAGGGCATAGAACAAGAAAGGAGTGTACAGATACTACTTTCCATTGCAACAAGATAGAACACAGTTGAACATGGGCATGGTACTATGAACACACTTTAAGCTAAGCAGAAGAAAAAATAGTTGGACATACACTATTTTCTGCATTTTTTTTCAAGATAATTTACATTATTTTTAATATTCTAAGCTTCCATGTTTGCCTCAACATATACATGAACAATTTCAGAATCAATAAAGGATGAAACAGAAGCAGATATGGATCTCTGGGTGAAAAATTACCCATTTCGTTCACTGTTCTTCCAAACTCATAGGACCACATTGCAGCAATTCATTTAGGAAAAATTAATATTTCCAAGTTTTAGAGTGGGAATCAAAGCATTTCATTTTTTTTTGGGGGTCTAGAAAAAGATGGTTGGGGGAGTGAAACCAGTGGGTTAACTATGTAAATCCAATAAATCATACGAAATGTGGAAAGTGAGCACCAAAACAATCGCAGAAATTCCTCTACAAAACCAAAATAAGCATGCATTCTTTCTCAGTACTCAATTAACCAACCACTGACTTATCAAACCTAACCACTTATATCAAAAGGTCATCAAAAGCTACAAGAAAATTTGACCACGCAGTCCAGATTCATGAACCAGATCTGCCCAATTAAGGTCGTGGAATCAAAGCATTTCATGGAGTCATTTTTATAGGTTCGCCCAAAGACGAACGAACCAGATCTGGGTGTACCTCAGCGAACCAGATCTGTTCGCATTTGCTACGGACAGAGAGAGAGAGAGAAGCTTAAAGGAAACACACCGTTGTAGGATCTGAACTCAAAAGCACAAGAAAAAAAGAAGACATATTTTACAGCAAGTGAAAAAAAAAAAATTCATCAGAAGAAACCTTTATCCGCAGACTGGCTACAGGTTATAGCGAGGGGGAGAGGGAGTAGAGAACATACCTTACCTGGAACGATGTCTTGAAGGTGGAGAGAGGCGCAGATCAGCTGGTCCAGCAGTCGCAAGACGATCTGTTCTGAGTAAGAGATCGACGGAGAGACGAAGTCAGTGAGAGACTGAGAGACAGTCAATGAGAGTGAAGAGAGGTAGATATGCAGAGAGTCGATGAGAAGAAGCTTACCTCGATTACAGTCGCCAGTGACCTGCTTGGAGTTGAGCTGCTTGGAGGCTTGAACAAAAGTGAAGGATTTGTCGGTAGGGTGTAGCAAAATGTCTAAGAAAGAGAGAGGGGTAAGCCTGTCTTTTTACCTACTTAACCTGGTGGGTGGGATTGTAACCCAGGGGGAGGGTTACAGTTAACCCATGTACACCGGATACTTTTCTACTGTAGCATCCGGGTCAAGGTTTGACCCGGAATTCATAAACCTCCCTCATTTTTCAGTTGCCAAACAATGAATATATGAGACTCACTTCATTGTTAAGTTATCCTCATGGCTCTTGACCCACCTTAACCCACTACCTAAATGCACCACCCACAGGATTCAAATTTGAAAGGAGACTTAAATTAATGTTAATTTTCAATCAATAAATACTATAATTTTCATAAAATTATATATATATATTAGATTATAAAATAGAGATAATGAGATCTGATTATCTTTTTAAAACTTATTTGACTTTAAATACCACCTCCAAACTTATTCTCCTTAAAATCATTTTTTTCATCAAATAGTTGTCCATAAATAAACATTTTTAAATTCTTTCTAAAATATATTTTATAATCCCCTACCATAATAGTGCATACCTAATTAACAACATTTATATTTTCAATATCTAAATATTAGAATGTAAAACTTAGATTTCTTTTGATATTTGTGTATCATTTGAATTTTAAAATTTCATATATATATATATGTGTGTGTGTGTGTGTATAGTAATAGGTTAAATAAAAAAATAATAACATCAAATAATAATTTAGTTGTCACTCTTTACTGACATTACTTGAACACTATTAAGAGAACATTACATGATGTCATTGATTGGACCCCCATTGCCATTATCTCGTGTCTATCTTTGGTGACACTATTTGCACATCAATTTTTTGAGTCCCTCTTTTGGTGTAATTTTTTGAGTGAACAAATATATATTATCATCATTTATAGTTAATTTATTATTGTCACTCTTTACTAACACTACTTGGACATTATCAAGGGAGCATTACATGATGTCATTGATTGAACCCTTATTGTTATTATCTTGTGTCTCTCTTTGGTGTCATTGTTTGCATGATAATTTTTCGAGTTTCATTTTAGGTACAACTTTTTAAGTAGACAAATATATATGTTATTATATATACACATACATATATATAAATAAAATTTCAAAATTCAAATGATACACAACTATTAAAAAAAATATTGAAATTCTCACATTTTAGTTTTGGAAATCTTACATTCAATTAAGTATGCACTATTTATGGTAGAGATAAAATGACATTTATGATTTTTTTTTAGTAGATGTACTTCTATCCCAATAATTTTTAAAAGTGTACTTTTATCCTATTAAGTTTTTAGGGAGGTACCGACCACCATTAAATACTTCATTTATGAATTTCATAGTAATAGAAATACACGTCCTACCGAGACAGAATTTGTAACTTGCTATCCTCTTGCCTAGCAGGTAAAGATTTACCTCCATTCAAAGAATGATTCATTCGGATCGACATGAGAGTCCAATTACATTGCATTACCAGAATCCATGTTGTATATTTGAAAGAGGTTGACCTCCCTAAAATCGAAAAATCAATTATGATCCGTTTTTGACCCATCCAACGCAAGCTGTTGACCGTCCTTGGACCGATAGCCCCTATCTGGCCTGGACTAGGCCCTTTACAAGTANCAAAGAATGATTCATTCGGATCGACATGAGAGCCCAATTACATTGCATTACCAGAATCCATGTTGTATATTTGAAAGAAATTGACCTCTCTAAGATCCAAAAATCAATTATGATCCGTTTTTGACCCATCCAACCCAAGCTATTGACCGTCCTTGGACCGATAGCCCCTATCTGGCCTGGACTAGGCCCTTTACAAGTGGGCCGATTGGTCCGCCTTCACTTGACCCTTAAACTGATTTCTTCCTTTGTCTTCCTTCTCTATGAGGAAAGTGATACGTTACTGATACATTTTTTTTTTCAATTTCTCTTATTTACAGATCATGCATGGTACTCATTATATCCAAGTAAATCCTTTATTCATTAATTAATAGTAGATGATCCAAAAATACTAAAAATAAATAAATATTATAGATAATCTAAATCTCCAAAAAGATAATTGTGCGGGCTTGATCCTGCACGATATATATAAAATATTGGGAACAGATCTCTNTCAATTTCTCTTATTTACAGATCATGCATGGTACTCATTATAGATAATCTAAATCTCCAAAAAGATGATCATACAAATTGAGCAAGTTATGAGAGTTTTTCTATAGAATGACAATGAGCTTACAAAACTTGAAGTCATTAAAAATCAGATTTCTGTTTTGATACTATTAACTCATTTAGAGTTGATTTTATCAAATTACGTTTAAAATTTAATTAAAAATTATTAAATCACATATTTTGAAATAATTACATAAAATTCGTTGACTTAAACATAAAAAATTAGTTTCTTGCCATTAATTGAATTCAGATTCAGAATAATGTTGGATTGAAGTACGATCCATAACCAACAGTTCTACATTTACCTATCTATCTCTCACTGGTATACACATTTTCTTGCTCGTCCTATTCCGATTTTTCTGTGCTCGGTGCCTCCTCTCTTACTAGGGTGTTTAAATTTTTGACTTGCCGCAAGTTTTTAGTTGTATAACTCTATTCTATCTTATTGAACGGTTAGTTGTAAAAATTGGATAGGAGTGTGAATGAATTTTTGATCTTTCAATTAAATCGGATAAAAATATAGAATAGTTATCCATTTTTGTACTTTACTTGAATTAATTTATATATATATATATATAAACTAAAAAAACCTAATCGTCTACTAAGTCATTTCAGCGCCTCACACCTCAATCCGTGCTTCTCCTTGGCTTCATCGTTCCAGACTTCCAGTCCCGATTCTCACCCAGGTACTCTCTCTCTTTCTACGCGATCTGTTGTGGTCTGGCTTGGAAGGTCTGATCGCAGACCTTCCTCACGAATCGTCTGGTCTGAGTCGTTTGATCTTAGTTGCAGATCCTATGTTGAGATCAATCGGTTTTTATCTTATGTTGCAGATCACGATGGCCTGGTCTTTTTCCTATGTTGCAGATCAATGGGTTTTTATCTGCTTTTACTTGTTTCCTTTTTTGTTTGAATCCATGAAATCGTTTTTCTTTTGATTTGTTATTCATGAGATCTTAGTTAATCATATGGGTGTAGTCTAAATTTTACATATGTTGAACGAAATCACCAAATAGATCAAACTAGGAATTACATAAACCAGTAAAATTAATTGCTGAAAATAATGATCAAACTAGGAATTACATGAGCGAGATCCGTGAAGTATTGCTGGACTCTGAAGGCAAACTCTGCTGCCTTTCTGAGTTATTGTTTCCCTTTCTTTTTTGGTTGCTTTGGTTCAATCCTTGTTTGCTGAATTGCAGTTAATGTTTGACAATTTTGGGAGGGAGCGAAGTCGAAAGACCCAGATTTGTTGCTTTCATTAAGTCTTCTTAGCTAATGTGAGAGTGAAGGAGGTTGAAGCAATTATGATTTTAATTGCCACATAACTGCCACAGACGGAGCAATTATAATTTTAATGTATTTCATATGATTTAAACTTCAATTAATTGTTATTGTATTNACAGCCGGAGTAATTATAATTTTAATGTATTTCATATGGTTTAAACTTAAAATTAATTGTTATTGTATTTGTGTAACAATTATGGTAGATTGAAGTTCATACTTTCTTGTGTTTTATTATAATTGTTGTTGTAATTGTTTTAAATTTTAGTGTTATTTATTTATTGTATTGTTAAATTGGTGCATGTTATTTAATTAAATTGTTAAAATGATTTAAAAATTAATAGTTACAAAAGTGTTTACCCGACTTTCTACCCGATTAATCGGGTAGGAAGTCGGGTAGGAATACCACACTTGATTGGGTAGATTAGGCCAAAAAAAAATTCTTTCACAAAATATCGGGTAGGAATACAGAAGAGCATATTTTCTACCGGTAGAGTAGGGTGAACACCCCTATATCTGACTTTCTCAATTTCACGTAAGTTCTTTTTCTCTCTCCAACCCTTCCTCGAAATAAGGGTTTGTTTATCGAGCTCATTTCCTCCTTTCCAGGGTTTGTTTATTTGTTATATGATACACATATCTTAATTTGCTCTCACTTATCTATATCTATAGTATCTGATTAGTCTTTAATTTGTTTGATCTGGATAATTGAAAGTCGTGGGTGTTTTTATCCTCTTTTGGCTGGGTATGTTCTTGTTTGTATTATTGGTTAACTAGATTTGATGTTTTGGGGAATTTGTGACCTTGAAATGTCCTTTTTTTTTTTAATTATTTATCCTTTTTAATCTCGATGTTCTTGTTTGTTATATTAATCGATTTTGATGATCATTGTAAATATTGCCTATCAAATGTTTGGGCTGATGTGTGCTGCCAAGACGACCCTGGATTCATTTTAGCTAGTTTAGAATATGCACCCACACACATGATCATCAGTAATCAGTAAGCTTGGTTCGTTATATGACACCCACACACACATCTAGAAGTTAAATATACACTCACTTCTCTATATTTATAGTATCTGTTTAATATTTGATTTGTTTGATGTGGTTGATCTGGATAATCGAAAGTCGTGGGCATTATTCTCATTTGGTCGATTGTTTGGTTTATTTATTGATAAGATGTAATTTATTGGGACATTTGGGATCTTGATAAGTCCTTTTTCCTTCATTTTTTACCTTGATTATCTTGTTTGTTATAGTAATGACATTGCTTGTCTAATATTTGAGCTCGTGCTTTGCCAAGCTGAGCCTGGATTCATATTTTTTGGCTTTGAATTCCTGTAAAGATCAGATTCAAGCTGGTTTAGATTTATGAGTTTTGATTGAGCTAGGTTGGGTCCGTCAATAATTTAACAAGCATGAATTAATTTGTAGGCGTAGATAAATGATATATAGGTAAAAGTTTGGGCTATCAAGCATGAGTTGGGACTTGAGTCAAGAAGAATCTGCTTTGCTCAAATAAACTAGATGTTGGGTCTGTACCCTGCCCACCCTTCCCAACACATGACTTTTTTATACCAAGAAATGCATATTAAACCACAGTACAAGAGTATGCGAGTTTGTATCTTTGCATGTGTGTTGATAATCCGATTTAAAAGTGTAAAAATATACGTAAGAAAATTTGAATGAAAAATGGCTAGAGAATCTCGAGCACTGGCTCACCATTTGTTTTAACTTAGAATAAAAGAAGCTAAGAAGGATGTTGCCTTCTAGCTAAAATCGAGGCTTCACAAAGAGGCACACATTCAATTAGGCATCACATACGTACTTGTGTTAATACTCAATGAATAGTGATAGGGATCAAGACTTTTTCCAAGAACATGTGCTTGGAAGAGGAGTATGAAGGAAAACCTCCATATGGGCTCCACCAATTAACCATCAAGTCTCGCACTCAATGTCATGTGACCAGGGCCTATAATTAGATGGGGTTATATGAACACGTATTATTGTGGCCCCTATGAGCTGGGAAATTCAGACTTCACACAATCAGAAAGGGTACAACACTAGATATTTTCTGTATAGTGTGAGTTTCGCTTCTATATAAACAAGTCTTTGATAGTTTCTAAATTGTGTTACTTTTGCTTCTATATAAACAAGCTTTTGCCATACATTCAAGGTATGTTGAGGAGTAAAACTTTCTGTATATTTCTACTTCTTTTGATGGTGACACTCCGTTGAAATCTTATAGCTGAGACTCCTAGATGGCCATAGTGAGAGACTGTGTTTTTATTCTCTTTTCCTTCTAGTTCTTCTGTTCTATTTACTGTGAGGGATCAGATCCAAATTACCCCTTCAGCCTTGATGTTGAGCACTATTTCTTGTCTGTGAATCTAATTCCATCCTCCACTACCGCTACAGCCGTATCCATTGATTTTCTATTGCTGTCTAGAAATTCCTGCTACCCATAAGGATCAGGTTCACACGAAAATTAAACGTCATCTAATTAAACCTAGTCTGTTCTTAAACCCAATTCTGACCATTTTACAACTAAGGCCCTAGCACGTAGTATTGATTACAGGACAGCCTTAATTCCTTTGTTTTAGGTTTTGTCCGCCTTAAATAGTTCAGATATTGTTTGGGGAAAAATCGTGTAGCCCGAAAGACCTGCTCAAATAAAGGTAAAAGGCACGCTTGATTGTCCTAATAGAGCATGGATATCTGCATTTGTGAGCTGTAAAACAGATAAAAGGGATTTGGTCTTTCAGACTGCCCCATAAATCACCACATGCGATTCCCATACAAAGCATTCATTAACATGCGAAATCTCCAAAATTATTTCTCCCGTCCCATCATCCCATGAAGCAATGCTCATAATCGTGTTAAAATTTAGCTGTCTACTGATAGGAGACATAGTCCAATTTTGTTGTTTATGCGTAGATTGTTGTATTTGATTATGATCTATTATGGACATTTCTGGAATATAGAAGAGAGTAAGTTATCTTAAATTTTGCACTCTCAACTCCTACTTTTGTGGCTATTTATCCGTATGGACCACATGTCGAAATGATTAAACTTATAAAAACTACAATGTGCATGGAGGAAATGATGCACAAGAGAATCTATGCGTGTAGGAAAACATGCGCATGATAGATCTCTTCAATTAAGTTTGCAGATGCTATTTTTTCACAAATTCCTATGTTTGTTTCCCTTATTATTTAGATTAGCTCAAAAGATAGTGTGAGACTTCAAGGCTCAGCTGTTAATCTTCTGATGGTGACTCTGTAGCCTGAAAGATTGATAAAAATGGCTTAGTTCATAGGCTGATATTTGATGAAGTTCTGTGATCTGTGTGTTTCATATTTTTAATTTCCAAAACATAATGAAGCCGACAGATCTTTGCCAAAGATCATAATTTGCATGTGAGCTTTCTGTTGTTTAGACATGTGGGAATTTCAATGGAAGCAATCCAAATATTGTAGCCAAAGAAGCATAGTGCCTACAGAAACTGATTAGAAGAAATATAAACATATAAGTTTGTGATGTATGATAAATTTCTGCATGTTTCTTTGAGTTGGAAAGTTATTGTCGAGTTTTTCAGTGAACGTGGAGTTTTGAGAGCGTGTAGTGGTCTTGTTCTGGTCTTCTTGGAAACTCACTTAGAATTAGAGGAGACAACTGCAACATTTTGATACCAATACACGTGTTAATGTATTGATCCACTAGATGATATGGTGGAAGAGTTCCATGTTCCCTAAACTGTATCAGTGATGCAATGTATTGTATTTTTTTTTTGACCCTATTAGAAGCCATTAATGCCGGACACTATATTATCGTGTAATGGTTTTATTTGGTGACATCCAAGTGGTTTTAATTGAGACTGTATTTCGCACAACAGAAGCAGTACTCAGTTCAAGGAAAGCTTAAGATTGCTTATTCAAAATGTTCTGCGTCGAAGTGGTTAGTTCATTTTGTAGTATATATGTTGTCAAAGTATGACATCCAGGGCATAGAAATAAGTCGGCATCAAATGGGACTGTTATTAAGCTGTGCGTTCTGCTGCAGATGTACTAATGTGCACACACACATTTGTCATAAGATGCTTAAGGCTTATATTTCTGACTGGTACAGGATGTCAGAAACACCCTTCAGGCCGAGAGAAAAGCTCATTGAGAAGCAGAAATATTTTCAGAGCATCCACAAGCACACATATCTGAAAGGCCCTCTTGATAAGGTGACTTCAGTTGCCATACCTGCTGCCTTGGCAGCTACATCGTTATATATGATTGTGAGTTCATGTCTACTTGTTCTTCTTCCACTCAAGTTCCTTTTTGGCCCATCTATATGTGGTTTATTTCATCATTTGTGATGTTCTTGATGACTTTATGCATTTNCACTTCAGTTGCCATACCTGCTGCCTTGGCAGCTACATCTTTATATATGATTGTGAGTTCATGTCTACTTGTTCTTCTTCCACTCAAGTTCCTTTTTGGTCCATCTATATGTGGTTTATTTCATCATTTGTGATGTTCTTGATGACTTTATGCATTTTCTCCAGGCACGAGGGATCTATAATTTGTCGCATGGGATTGGGAAGAAAGAATGAGCTCCACCCGACAAGTGTCTGTATGGCAGTTTAATTTCAACATCCCAAGCTTTTCGACCTGGACTAATGTTCTTAGACCATCTAGCANGCATGGGATTGGGAAGAAAGAATGAGCTCCGCCCGACAAGTGTCTGTATGGCAGCTTAATTTCAACATCCCAAGCTTTTCGACCTGGACTAATGTTCTTAGACCATCTAGCAGTTTGTACCCAATAATTGCAGAGTTGCATACTTAAATCTACCAATTGGTGTAGAGTCTTCTTCATCAATGACTGATTTGCTGATTTGTTTGATTGCTTGGTTTCCACTGGAGTATGATTTAATTTTTTAAGTCAGTATTTATGCATGTTTTGGCATATGCAGTTATTTTTTGTGTTACATTGGCCATGTTTGTTAGCACTTAACTTAAAAAAGCGGCTGTTTTAAAAGTATTCCTTGACCAACCATGATATACCGTTACTCAACTGGTCCAAGGGATCAAGAAGAGAGGTCAAAGTCTTGAGATAAGGAAGTATGACTCTCCTCGAGGAAATTGAGCAACGGGGGCGGATGAGTGTGATTGTCAACCTTGGATGGGGCTTCGAAGGTTTAATTTGTCTGGGAATTCAGAGAAACTCCTGAGGTACAAAGAGATGGCTTGGATTAATATATGAGATATTGGGACATGTGAATTTACAGTTATAGAATTGAAACGATTTAATATTCTTTGAGCGGGCATCTTGGAGTTTACTCACNAAAGAACAAATTTGCAGATTTTTCTGGCACCAAAAAAGGAGAAGAAGAAAGCTGAATTTTTGTTGAACCAAAGACTGCCGAAAATATGTCTTCTTCCCAAACCAACCGAGAAGAGATGAACCAAAGAAAAAGGACAAAACTTATAGTCTTTGATGGNGATTTAATATTCTTTGAGCGGGCATCTTGGAGTTTACTCACAGGGGTTCCACAAGCAAGAGCGGTTTTGCGGTGTGCACAACCTGGGGGCACTGTGGCCATGACCATCCACAGTCATGACATTCTGTGACTCTTCCACCTCGATGGTCACTCCCAATGTCGGAGGCCGAACCTCCTCCCCGAGAAATGAGTCCAAATGGTATCCTTGGAATATTACATCTACTTAAGTAATGTTTGGGACATTGGATGTGCACTGCGCAAGCTTCGTATAAAATTGGCTTGAGTTGTTTGCATAAGCGCATGGTGTCCATTAGCAACGTGTTTTTTGCTGCTTGTCCATGAGCAACGTTGACCAAGTACAAAGACAATTGGTGATAATCTATACGGGCAGCTCGGATTTTCTGAGTACTTGTGCTATAAATACTATTATTGCTCACCCCGTAGTATGTTGAGCAATGGAGAAAGACTGATTGACATCGTGGTCTGAGACATATCCGAGGGGCTTAGTACGAGCAACGCCACCTCTGTCCGGAGGTGGTCATCCGGCTAATGATAGTCATTCAGTTGCCTCCACCGTCTCGAGAGTTCTTTCATCCAAATGTCGGGTCTCTTCATTACTAGGTAGTTCGAGTTCTTTCATCCCAACCATCTGTTTCATTCATCCCTTCAGTAATACAGATGTTGGTCATGTATGTCAACTCTAGTTTAACTTTCTATCTACAATACGTAATTTGGGGGAAATTTAGTTTAGTATAAGGTTTGTTGCCTTTAGTTGGTAGTGAATAAAAAGTAGAATTGACGCCGCTTAATTGAAATACAACTTTGTTGGGTCGTATTTTACTTAACATTTTTATTATTTGGATATAATTTATTGATCTAATGCGTTGTAGTCATTAGATTAGTAGCAAACCTTAAAAAATACTAGGACTTATAGTCAATTTAATGGTTATGATGCTTTAAATCAATAAATTAGATTCAAATAAAAATTCCTCTGCACTTAATCTCTTAAATCCTTCAACAATGTGAGACTTAAAAGTGCTTTATCTTTTGAAATTTTTTCAGACTCAACTATTGTTACTCTCAAGTTTTTGTGGTGATAATAAATAACATTACTATCGAATGGGGTGATGTAGTGGAGTATCGGCTGAACTTCTTATTTTGAGGTTAGAGGTTCAAGTCTTAAAGTCCACATTAAGACTCTGTGATTGACTGCTATATTAGCCTAATTATGTTCGTTACCAAGATAAGTAATAGACAAAATCAAAGATCTTATGATCCCACAAATTAAGACCTATTAGAATAGTCTTTGGACGTTATCCTTTGCCCTACCCTTTATCTCAACATTGTTTGTATGCTAATGTCACAACATCGGTGAGTTGGCCTTTTGGATTCACGGAGCTTCGTGGTGTTTCTCTGCCGTTGCTTATTGTGAAGGGTGTTATTACCTTTTGACAACCCGGTTACGAGATCGTGGCCATTGATCTGATTATAGGAGTGTTCATGGGCCGGATTATTCATGAGTCTTGTTATTCGACTCGAAAAAATAGACCCAAAATTTAATAGGTCCGATAGTTGGCCCGCCCGAGTCTAATATCCTTAAAAAGAGGGCTTAAATTTGCCCTCAAACCCATTATTTGACCTGAAATTCGGCTTAAGAGCTCGCCCGTCTCACCCCTTATTTGAAAAAAAAATTATATTTTTAGATCATTAAATTTGAAACTTTGAAATAAATATTCAAATATTAGAATTTGAAGTTTTAAAAATTTAGATACTATAAATAATGTATTATTTTATTTTCCATGTATTAAGTTTAAACATACAAATTTTAAAAGGTAGAGTAATGCAAATGATAAATAAGTGAGTAGGTGTCAACTTAGTTGAAATGTATTCATTCTATAATTTTATTAGATGTAGTTTATCCCTTAATTAAAAATAAAATTATTTATTATTTTATTTTTATTCATTTTGACTTTATTTTTTATTCAAAAATATAATTTACACAAATATTAAGTTACAAAAATGTTTATTATTTCTAAATAAAATTATATATAAAAAAGTCGCGAATAGACCTGCCTGCATAATAATTTACTTGGGTAAAAGTTTGGACCTACACTACGCAGCCCTGACCCAAAAATTTTTTTGTGAGCCTAGCTCGGCCTGGCCAATGGACACCCCTAGATGCCAATAATGTTCACCTCACAACACAATTTGAAGATTGTTGAAAAATAGTTTTGATATCATTTGTTGGTTTTATACCATAGATAATTAACACAAATAATATTTGTTAGAAGATAAGAATTGAAAGATAAAAAAAATAAAAATAAAACATAGAGATATAACGTAATTTGATGTAACATACCCACTTTGGTACACTGTACTTATATCTACGGACCAAAAACTTTCATGCTGGTGATGTGCTAATTGATTACATAATACACACCCCTATTCATGTACGTGTCTAATATACCTATTCATGATATATTAAATTTTTTTCAATATAATCATATTTCATACAAGATTATGACATTGATTAACCAATTGTGACAATTAAAGAATTTTGATCAAGTTCCAACAATTGTGGTGCTGGGGGTGCTGCTTCTGGGATCGAGGTTCAGTTCTATGATGTCGAAGAGCCAGATAAAGGAAGTCACGGGTGCAGGAAATATTTGGTAGAGTCTTGTGGGAAAGTTACTACTTGTATGTCGCTGTTTCAATTACCGTGATCGTCATCAAACTGGTGCTTTCGAGGTATACAGGCTTAGATGTTCGACGAAAGGCGTGGGTGAAGTTGGAAACCTTGGCCTGTTTTGAGTGCTTGTATTGCTTGGTGTATATGGAAGGATAGGAAAAGGAAAAGTATTTCAAAAATTTTAACCTCTCCAAAAATTGTTGTTAGGGAAGCAAGGCTCTTTGCTATTGATGCTGTTAAAACTTTTCATAATGATCATGATGTCTTTGTTAATGCCTCTCCCAGAGTTATTGCATGGTCTTTTCCCCAATCAGGTTGGAATAAACTGAACACAGATGGATGCTCCAAGGGTAACCCCGGTCCAGCAAGAGTGGGAGGTATCATCAGAAATGATCAAGGAAAATGGATTGCTGGTTTTTTTGGGAGAATGGAGGATACTACGAGTTTACAAGCAGAGCTGTGGGCTATCTCCAAAGGACCGCAGCTTGTTTAGAAGAGAAAAATCACATATGTCATTGTGGAAACTAATTCGTTTGAAGCAGTCAAACTCTTGTCCATGGATCCGGAGGCTACTCGTCCGCACAGAGCCATTATTTCTTACTGCAGAAGGTTGATGGAGCAGAATCATATCCCCATTGTTCACACTCTTGGGGAAGGCAATCAATGTGCTCATTTTCTGGCTAACTCAGGTGTCCAGCAACAGGAACATTTTGTTGAACTTGATGCTCCCCCTCCCCAATTAGCAAAGAATTTGTTAGCTGATCTGACTAGCATCGCCTTTTCTAAGAATTCTATTTAGTTTTTGTTTTCTGTTTTACCTTTCCGATGTACCAAAAAAAAGAAGTTAGAAAGCTTGGTACTGGTAGTCTCCACACAAGTTAGAAAGCTTTGTGATTCATGGTTTTTATAGGACTAGTGGTGCTCCCTTCGCCTATTTTCGTATATAATTTCACATATAAGTTGTAAATGGTTATTAATTAATACGTTTGTGGGATGGTATTAGTAGATAGTTTTTCCGATAGGTATTTAGATGATAGGTAATGAAAGTTATCAATGAAAGTGATTTTCATATTGTATTTAAAAACCTTGTTATGAATGAAAAGAGTATGTTAGACTTGAGTTAAACTTCCTTGTTAAAAATAAGGAGGGTTGATTCCTCTCGAACTGAATTATTGGAGGTTTTAAACCCTCGAAATGGGTCTCTCTTTATCCTCTATTCTGTGATGTGGTTTATATCGTGTTTAAATCGCGTCGCATCAAAATTTATTCAATTCATGCTTGACTGATTTATAGTTGTATTTAGTTGAGTTCGTGTCATGTCAAAATTTACTTAACCTATACCCGATCATTTGTAATGGTGTATATTTGAGTTTATGTCGTGTATATTCTACTTAAATCTACTTAGACTAAACTCAAGCCCA